CATAGCTGAAATCTGTACTAGAGAAGCATCGAATTGGAGTAAAGTACTTATTTTAGAGTCAAAGCAGCTTGAAAAAGTTCATAAGATGAACTAGAACAGTTTAAAAAGCTCATATTTTTACATAGGAGGAGTTTGAAATCCTATTCCTGGCTCTCACATTGGTGAATTTTTTCTAGAGTTTAGGGCAATTTGAAAAGGCCATTTTCAAACCTGTTCTGAACTGGAGTTTGAAATCCTGTTCTTGGGTCTCCCAGAAGTAAACTTTGAGCTAGATGAGCATGAAAATTCTGTTCCCACCTTACCAATATCAAATCGAATATAGAGTACTACTTTCAGAATCCAAATTGAGTCAGAGCACCTTAAAAAAGTTCAGAGCCGTTTAAAAAGCTCATATTCCAGGCTGTTTTGAACCGAAGTAGTTTGAAATCCTATGCTTGGCTCTAACATTGGTGCAATTCGAACAAGAAATACTGATCTCTGATCATTCTAGAGTTCAGAGCAGTTTGAAAAGTACATTTTCAAACCTGTTCTGAACTAGACAAGCTTAAAATTCTATTCCTGGCCCTCACATTGGTGGAATTTGAATAGAAGATACAGTGATTATTTTAGAGTTCAGAGCAATTTGAATAGTCCATTTTCAAACCTGTTCTGAACAAAACGAGTTTGAAATCCTGTTCTTGGGTCTCCCAGAGATAAACTTTGAGTTGGATAAGTATGAAAATTCTGTTCCCTCTCTACTAAAAAAAGTTCAGAGCAGTTTAAAAAGCTAACATTTTAGGCTGCTTTTAACATATTTGGCTCTCACATTGGTGAGGTTTGAACAAGAAATACTGATCTCTGACCATTCTAGAGTTCCGAACAATTTGAAGTCCATTTTTAAACCTGTTCAGAACAGAAAGAGTTTGAAATCCTGTTCTTGGGTCTCCCAGAGCTAAACTTTGAGTTGGATAATTATGAAAATTCTGTTCCCTCTCTGCTAATATCAAATCGAATTGGAGAAGTATAGAGTACTATCTTTAGAGTCTCAATTTAGTCAAAGCAGCTTAAAAAAGTTCAGAGCAGTTTCAAAAGCTCATATTTTGGGCTGTTTTGATCATATTTGGCTCTCATATTGATAAAGTTTGAACAAGAAATACCTGTTTCTGACCCTTCTAGAGCTTAAAGCAATTTGAAAAATCCATTTTCAAACCTGTTCTGAACAAAACGAGTTTGAAATCCTGTTCTTGGGTCTCCCGGAGCTAAACTTTGAGCTGAATAAGCATGGAAATTCTGTTCCCTCTTTACTAATACCAAATCGAATTGGAAAAGTATAGAGTACTACTTTTAGAGTCCCAATTGAGTCAGAGCAGCTTAAAAAAATTCAGAGTAGTTTAAAAAGCTCATATTTTAGGCTGTTTTGAACATATTAGGCTCTCACATTGGTAAAGTTTGAACAAGAAATACTGATCTCTGACCATTCTAGAGTTCAGAACAATTTAAAAAGTCCATTTTCAAACCTGTTCTGAACAGAACGAGTTTAAAATCCTGTACTTGGGTTAGTTTGGGTTAGTTGAGCTGAATAAGCATGGACATTCTGTTCCCTCTTTACTAATATCAAATCGAATTGGAGAAGTATAGAGTACTACTTTTAGAGTCTCAATTAAGTCAGAACAGCTTGAAAAAGTTCAGAGCACTTCAAAAACCCAATATTTTACAGGCTGTTTTGAACATATTTGGCTCTCAAATTAGTAAAGTTTGAACAAGAAATACTGATTTCTGACCATTCTAGAGTTCAAAGCAACTTGAAAAGTTCATTTCCAAACCTGTTCTGAACAGGAGTTTGCAACTCTGTTCTTGGGTCGGGTCTCCCAAAGCTAAACTTTAAGCTGGATAGGCATGGAGATTCTGTTCCCCCTTTACTAACATCAAATCGAATTGGAGAAATATAGAGTACTACTTTTAAATTCCAAATTGAGTCATAAAAAAGTTCAGAGCAGTTCAAAAAGCTCATATTCTAGGCTGTTTTGATCATATTTGGCTCTCATATTGGTAAAGTTTGAACAAGAAATACTGTTTTCTGACCATTCGAGAGTTCAAAGCAACTTGAAAAGTTCATTTTTAAACCTGTTCTGAACAGAACGAGTCTGAAATCCTGTTTTTGGGTCTCCCGGAGCTAAACTTTGACCTGAATAAGCATGGAAATTCTGTTCCTTCTTTACTAATATCAAACTGAATTGGAGAAGAATAGAGTAAATACTACTTTTGAGTCTCAATTGAGTCAGAACAGCTTGAAAAAGTTCAGAGCACTCCAAAAAATATTTTACAGGTTGTTTTGAACATATTTGGCTCTCAAATTGGTAAAGTTTGAACAAGAAATACTGATCTTTGACCATTCTAGAGTTCAGAACCATTTGCAAAGTCCATTTTCGAACCTGTTCTGAACAGAAAGAGTTTGCAATCCTGTTCTTGGGTCTCCCGGAGCTAAACTTTGAGCTGAATAATCATGGAAATTCTGTTTCCTATTTACTACTATTTAAAGTTCAGAGCAGTTTAAAAAACTCATATTTTAGGCTGTTTTGAACATATTTGGCTCTCAAATTGGTAAAGTTTGAACAAGAAATACTGATTTCTGACCATTCTAGAGTTCAACGCAACTTGAAAATCTCATTTTCAAACCTGTTCTGAACAGGATGAGTTTGAAATTCTATTCTTGGGTCTCCCGGAGCCAAACTTTGAGCTGAATAATAGGCATGAAAATTCTGTTCCCTCTTTACTAATATCAAATCGAATTGGAGAAATATAGAGTACTACTTTTGGAGTCCAAATTGAGTCAGAACAACTTGAAAAAGTTCCGAGCACTTCAAAAACCCAATATTTTACAGGCTGTTTTGAACATATTTGACTCTCACATTGGTGAAGTTTGAACAAGAAATACTGATTTCTGACCATTCTAGAGTTCAGAACAATTTGGAAAATCCATTCTCAAACCTGTTCTGAACAGAACGAATTTGAAATCCTGTTCTTGGGTCTCCTGGAACTAAACTTTGAGCTGAATAAGCATGGAAATTCTGTTCCGTCTTTACTAATATCAAATCGAATTGGAGAAGTATAGAGTACTACTTTTAGAGTCCAAATTGAGTCAGAACAGCTTGAAAAAATTCAGAGCACTTCAAAAACCCAATATTTTACAGGCTGTTTTGAACATATTTGGCTCTCAAATTGGTAAAGTTTGGGCAAGAAATACTGATTTATGACCATTCTAGAATTCAGAACAATTTGAAAAGTCCATTTTCAAACCTGTTCTGAACAGAACGAGTTTGAAATCCTGTTCTTGGGTCTCCCGGAGCTAAACTTTGAGCTGAATAAGCATGGAAATTCTGTTACCTCTTTACCCAATATCAAATCAAATTGGAGAAGTATGGAGTACTAACTTTAGGAGTCCAAATTGAGTCAGAGCAGCTTTAAAAAGTTCGGAGCAATTTAAAAAGCTAATATTTTAGGCTGTTTTGATCATATTTGGCTATCATATTGGTAAAGTTTGAGCAAGAAATGCTGATTTCTGACCCTTCTAGAATTCAAAGCAATTTGAAAAGTCCATTTTCAAACCTAGAACGAGTTTGTAATCCTGTTCTTGGATCTCCCGGAGGTAAACTTTGAGTTGAATAAGCATGGAAATTCTGTTCCCTTTTTACTTATATCAAATTGGAGGAGTATAGAGCAGTTTTAAAAACTCATATTTTAAACTGGAGTAGTTTGAAATCTTATTCCTGACTCTTACATTGATGAAATTTGAACAAGAGATACTGATTTAGAGCAATTTGAAAAGTCCATTTTTAAACCTATTCTGAACTGAAAAAGCTCAATACATTTGCCATTACTCATTGGAAGGTTGCTGGCGCGTTCTTTAATCCAAAAGGCATTCTATTGAATACGTAATTTTGACTTGATGTAAACCAGCTTTTAACGAGCTTTTGTTTAATTTGCAAAAATAGCCGATCAGAGACCTTTTTAGTATGTTTGTCGACCCTTTGGCTTTTGCCCTTTTTAAACCTGTTCTGAACTGGAAAAGCTCAGTATATTCTCCATTACTCATTGGAAGGTTGCTGGCGCGTTCTTTAATCCAAAAGGCATTCTATTGAATACGTAATTTTGACTTGAAGTAAACCAGCCTTAAATGAGCTTCTGTTTAATATGCAAAAAAAGCTGAACAGAGACTTTTTTCGTATGTTTGTCGACAAAATTCCGATTATTCCGCTGATATATCTCAATTTCCAATTACCAGGCATTAGAAATCCAATTCAACTTATACTGATTTTTAGCAAATAAGACAAAATAAGACCGTACAGAATCGATACACAGTAAATATCGACTCTGCGGCTGAATAATTTATGAAAATTCGCTCGAATCCTGACCCGGCAAAAGCACGGACCGAAACTGGCTCTCTGGGTCATGTTAATGCTTTTAAAATAAGGCAAAGTACAAAACTAAATCAGTCAAGCTATTTTTAGCTTGTCTAGGTAAACGACCTCGAATGCACTTTGATGCAGAGAAAATTTTATACCGATTTTATTTTCGTTGTTTAGTGAATCATAATTTATTTGGATCTGACACACACTTTCTAATTTTCTTAGATTCTTATAGTTAGAACCAACTAAGAAGAACTTCTGACGTCATAACTGACAAAGAAAGTGAATTTCCTGTTCTCTAAGGGCTCTCCCTTTTGGAGTGAGACAAATGATCACGCGGTGACTTCTTCTTAGTTGGTTTTATTTATATCAAAGTTACTAATATCCGAAAGATTTTCACGGTACAGGGACCATTAGATTCTTCTTGAATTATTTAAATTTTGAGGCATTTTAAACTATACTTCAGTTGGGATAAATTCGACGCTTTCAACAGACAGGTACGCCCATGGTTTTCAGGCTCCACCTTCCACAAATGGGCGGAGTTCCAAAAACCATAGACGTACCTACAGTAATTTAATACAAAATTAACTCACCATAAATTCTTCTTATTTGCAGCAGACAGCAGTTTCCTCCTAGCAAACGCACAGATAGTCGACTATCCGATCGTCTATTGCAACGAGTCCTTTTGCAAAATTTCGGGCTACAATCGGGCCGAAGTGATGCAAAAATCTTGTAGATGCGCCTTCATGTTTGGCGAACTCACGGACAAAGAGACGATCGGCCGAGTGGATCACGTGCTCGAACATCAGCTGCACGACCAGTTCGAAATTTTGCTCTACAAGAAAAATAGTGAGTAGAATTCAGTTTGACTTATTTCACAAAATGAATTCACGAGACATCAAAGGAAATCCAATTTTGAAGCAGTCACTAATCATTAATGTCTCGTAAATCACAAAACTAATATAATTGACAGAAAATAGGATTGAGGGATCAAATCCTGAAAACATGACAAAGATAGTAACACAAAAAGGTGAGGATAAAAGAGCTTTAATTTTCCTTATGTGTGGCACCATTTCAAATAAATCAAATTATCTGATCGGCCTTGACTCAATATTCCGGAGTTTTTAAAAGGTCCGCCTCGATGAAAATAGCTTTTTTAAAGGTGTGTTTTGAGGTCATTTATGGTGTTTCCATAAGGCAAAGCAGTTTAAAAGGACAACAGATTGTCAATTACTATTTAGAATATCACTGGCGCGTTTTTAAATCCAAAAGGCATTATCAAAAAGTTGAAAAAATCAGAAAAGTTCTTTTATCTCTCGCCTTAATTAATTATTCACCGTTGTCTCTATATTATGTGTTTTTTTCTTTGTAAATAATTTCTTTGTGTGTTTGCTCGGTCCGTTCGCCTGCACCCGCGCATGCTCTGTATAGAAAACAAAGGTATGTAGCTTTAACCCTAAATTATTGGATTGAGCTGCCTCAGATTGTTAATTAGGGCTGTTCGATGTGCAGTTTGTTTTTTTTTTTTTTTATTGGGGAAAATTGCTATTTTTGCTCGCGAATGCTGATATAATAAACAGGTACGCCAATGGTTTTTTGGGCATCATAGGCACAGCGTGGAAAACCATAGGCGTTTTGTCTGGAAAATTTTAAAAATTTTACTTTTCTGGAGAGTACATCAAAAGAAAAGAAAACTACTGGTAGAGCAAGGGAATTCTTGTTCAATCAATTTTTTACTGAATCTAGGTCGACCTATTTCTATCAAAACCTACTTTAATATTTTTTAATTAAAACTTTCCTATGCTACCTTATACTACATTGTCAAGATAAACCAGACATTATTTTGTATTCCACGTAAAATGCCGTCCATAACCCTTTGGATTGTCGCTGGATCATTTTTCAACCCGAATGGCATGCGAGTAAACTTGTAGTGCCCGAAAATTCCAGGAGGAAAAAAAGAAAGTTAGGAACTCAATGCTCATCGTACTAAAATTTCAATTTTTTCCATCTCTCTCTTTTTCATTGAAATTCTGACATCATTATTTTTCTCTTATTATTCTAGGCTCTTAATTGGTAAGACACAAAAAGAACATACAAGACCAATCGAGCGCCAAGAATAATCAAAATTTGTGCCGCAAATTTTCTACAAATTTCAATTTCCTACTTTATATCCGTCTCTTTCTTACTCATTATGTTTCCCATGTCGTCTCCCATTTTCTTATTTCAAGCCTTAGTCGAGCGCCTGGAACATCCAAAAATTAGCGTCACATTTGTGTTGACGAATTTTTAGAAAAATTAAAAAACTGGTGTCACTATTTTACTTGGCCAGTGGATATCACCAGATTCCCATGGAGGAATCCTCAATTCCAAAAACAACACCAGATGGACACTACGAATAATTTGAGAGTACCATTTGGATTGTGCAATGCACCTGCAATTTTTTAAATGACTATTAATAGGCTTCTTGGAAATCTGAAATACGGAAAGGCACTAGCATACATGGACGACGTATTACTTCCTTCTTCAAATTTTGAAGTAGAGGTTTTGTTAATTTGAAAGAAGTTTTACTTTCACTTCACCGACTTTGCGTTTGACAAAATGTCATTTCCTAGAAAAGGTCGAGTATTTAGAACATGAAATAAGTGACAACGTAGTGCAACCTTGTCTTGAAAACCCGTCTCTAACGATAAAAAATGTAAAAGGTTGGAATCCAAAATAGGAAAGTTTCGATTTTTTTCAATTTGAAAGACACATTTAAGACTTACGACCTCCAATCTCCATTCACAGTGTGTTTCCTGGAAAGTTGATCAACTTTATGGAACCAAATATTTTTTTGTGCATTTAGGAACCTTTCAGCACTAACCCAACAAAATTTTATCACACAAAAATCCAAAATAAGAGATTTATGATTTTTTCAATCTGAAAGACACATTTAAGACTTATGGCCTTCATCTCCATATACAGTGTGTTTCCTGGAAAGTTGGTCAACTTCATGGAACCAAATATTTTTTTATGTGTTTAGGAACCTTTCAACTGTAAACCAACAAAATTCTAGAACACAAAAATCCAAAATAAGATAGTTATGATTTTTTCAATCTGAAAGACACATTTAAGACTTAAGGCCTTCATCTCCATTTACAGTGTTTTCTCTGGAAAGTTGATCAACTTCATGGAACCAAATATGTTTTTATGTGTTTAGGAACCTTTCAAATGTAACCCAACACAATTCTATAACACAAAAATCCAAAATAAGAGAGTTATGATTTTTTCAATCTGAAAGACACATTTGAGACTTAAGGCCTTCATCTCCATTTACAGTGTTTTCCCTGGAAAGTTGATCAACTTCATGGAACTGAATATTTTTTTGTGTGCTTAGGAACCTTTCAACTCTAACCCAACTCCGTTTACAGTGTTTTCTCTGGAAATTAATGAAAATTTGCTTCAAGAATCTGTAACCAACAAGAATTTCCCACCTTGTTACCTATATTCCAATTGTTGTCTAGTAAGAATATCCATTGGCTCAAACATAACAAGTACGTCAATGGTTTTCAGACTCCGCCTATTCAGTTTCAGACACCATAGACGTGCAACTTATAAAGAAATCAATCAGCATTCACCAGGCAAAATAGCAAGTTAACTTTATAAACAAAAGGTTCGGCTTCTTAAGCATCAATGTGCAATTACTATACGAAATTGGTTATGATGATTATACTGTGACGTAGATGTGTGTGTTTTATGTTTAGCCGTGTGCACCAATAACAGTTTTAATTAGTTTTTAGCAATAGTTTGATTTGAACAATCAATAAATAGCTTTGTTCCAACAACACACCAGAGAAATCGTACAATGGTATACAGAGTGACGTGTTGGAACAAACCTAATTGTGGCACAAAGATATTTATAAAAAACACTGTTATTTCGAAGAGGTGCGTATGTATGTGTGTTAATACAGAGTATGCGGAAACAAAAAAAACATTATTCACGTATAATTTTTTACAGCATATTCCACAATATTACATAATCATTATTACATTAATTATTTGTAAATTTCAGGTATACCCGAAGGTACGTAGATTCCAAAAATAAATAAAACAATTTATTTTGAATTGCTGTAAAAAGTTTGCTAGAACTTTTGTACTTCTCTCTTTGACTCTATTCTCTTTGTATACTCGCTTTATTCTTTTCACTTTCCCATCTACTATGCACTTGTCAGTACCTATGTATTTCAAACGTTACAGGTATGTTCCCACAGGAGTCTCTGACAGTTTGCAAACTGTTAGTAACCGTCACCCAAACATGTTTTCAATGCTGTCGTTGCAAGATAAATCTATGTAACTCAGCTGAGCGATTCTTTCTGACAGGTTGCAAACTGTCAGAAACCCTGTGGGAACAGACCTTACATTTGCTTATTGTTTTAGATAATATTTGCTCACCTTTTTCTCAAGCTTTCTCGCTTTGTATTTAGACACACAAATCTTGAAATTATTGTAATGTTTTCGTATAGTACAAGACAAGTGCATACTTTTCTTAGTTGGTGTGGCCCTATTATTATAGGAATTTTGGTAAAGTAAAAGGGTGTTTTTTGTATTTAACTTGTTTTAAAATTGTTGCCAGTGAAATTATATGAAGTTACTTTTAGATGTGCCCCTTCGTAACTTGTAGTTTTGTGTAATGTTGAGTAAAAGTTAATAATTTAAACGTTTAAACACGCCTCTGGAAAAATTGTCCAGCCAATCAAAAGCTGGTAATGGTCAATTTTGAGGCTCAATTGCTCAAAAACTCAAAATTGAGCAAAACTGAAAATAAAAAAATAAAGATTGTCATCAAAATCTCATGTTTGTACCTTGAATAATTTATGAGGAATTACCCAATTTATGCAAGGATGTTATATTTCATTTTCCAAAAATCATGTATTTTTCTAGAAATCTCGTAGCTTTGTCGTTATTTGGTCAATGGGTTTGAATTTTTAGTATGACTTGCTCCAATGTTCTTAAAATAGTTCCACAAAATTTCATATTTGTATCTAAGGAAGATTTTGAAGAATTACCCAATATATACAAAATTGTCATATTTCACTTTTCAATGTCTTGTAACTTTGAATTTTAAATTCTGAACCTTTTGCCTGATTTCAGCCAGGTTTCTTAGATCAGCATGACATTTACCTTATGGGTGTTCAGGATCTAAATTTGAGCCCACAGGATGACAAAAACACAAGTTTTCTTAGAAAAAAACAAACGAATCGAATCCCATAAATTCCATCAGGCGCTTCAAATTCTTATAAAAATGTCCCATCTGTTTTGCATACTCTAAAATGTAATTTTGACTCACAAACAAACAAAAATTGACCCCCTTGTTCGAAAAACCGATAAATTTCACTGTACAGGTTGTGAAACTGTTTCGAAAAAATGTCCAACCTTGTTTTGGAATTGGAAAAGTTTCCTAACAGTAATTTGGAACAATGTACTGATAAAAACTGACTATTGATTTCCATAAAACTTTTCACAAATGATTGAGATAACTTCTCATTCACTCCCTCACCTATTTAAAAAACTACTCAACTATTCCTCCAAAATACTCCATAACTAATAAGTCTATGACCCACATTTTATAATCCAAAATGAACCTGAAGGCTTTTGGAGCTAAATTATAACTCAACGCGCCTCTATTTCCTTCCTGTTTGGAAAATACTCAAACTTCCCCGGTTGAATTTTTAATTCGAACTTATTATTATTAATAGGTGAATGACGTGGCAATGCAGCTTGTTTTATTAATTCAGATTAATACTCATTAGGAAAATAATATATTGATTTATCGATACCGATTTGAAAATACAATGTACAGATATCGATAT